CCCCCCCAAAACACACACACACCTGCTTTTGTTTGTTCAAAAGGAAAGTATTATACTCCAATAGGCAACCTAGAGAACATACTCAAGACACCTGACTTTCTGCTTTAGAAAGAACAATCTTTGCAATCAAGGAAGTTGGTTACTGGTGTGGCTGAGCCGCTTCATGGAGGTTGTAACACATGGGCATGCACTAGAAGAAGATGAGAAAGATAATTCACCAACCTTCTTTCACAACCTTAGCCTTGAATACTTCAAAGATAAGAATTAAGCAATGAGCATCAGCTGCTGCATATTGCATTTGCTCTTCTGTCAGAGGTCGCTGTGACCAATCGCTGCATTGCAGTTCCTGCACTCAAGATGCACTAAATTGAAACAAATATTTTTAAAATCAAATCGCATCTATATTCCGGAATAACAAAAGGATCAACATGGCACACCTTGGATAGAGAAATCCCCAAAACCTCCTGACAAATTGTTGCCAAGCTCTTTATTTGCTTAGATAATCTTCTCCCTGGTTGTCTGGGTTGCAGGTTGTTGTATATGCTCGTAATATCTAAAAAGGGTTCCACCTAGTCACCAACTATTAGCTAGCATACGACAAGTATTACCCAAACAAAACAGTTAAATCAGTTCTATATAAAGGTAGCCAATCATAAGAGTGTGCGGCTTATAGAACGTGTTAGTTGAACCAAGATCGCTTCAAAAGAAAAAGTCCAAGTATAGCAAATAACAAAGATTAACTGCGGCAATGACATACTAATAAAACCAACACTTCTTTTACAATCTAGGCTAGTTATAATAAGAAAGTAACATAAATCTTTATCAAGCTTCTAACATTCTTTAAGCAACCAAATAAGAGCAACAAACAACATATATCAAATGAAGAACAAAATAAAATGAAAGTCTGCAACCAAACACCAAAAGAAAATCAATTTCTATTATCTCCACATGCCTTCATCCGCCTCCGGAGGAAAGAAAAAAAAAGGCAATAATTTTGCCCTTCGGATGACACTCCCACTTCATTACCTAACAAATTCAACCATAAATTGTTTTTCACGGTTGCAATAAGCTAACTCTGCAAGAACTGAGTGGTAGCTCAATGATATAACTCTTACCCCTTTTGCCCTCTCCCACGTCTCCCCAATAAAATTAAAGAAAAAAAAGTAGCTCTATATTATAAATGCTCGGCCTATGCACAAGATAACAAGCTCGGTGACCAAATTTTAGAGCTATAACAGGACAATGTAAGACGAGGAGTACATTCTTCGAAATACTTTTTCTGTGCTGACAATTTTGCGTCCATAGACAAAATTATGCAAATTAAGCTCATTAATCAATATCCTAAAACTTCAAAGCACTGCAATTTACAAATCATATTTGTATATGAAGTCATATTAGAAAATTGAGAAAGCAATATGCTATATAAACACAAAAGCTTCGACATTTACTGTAAATGCACAGCCAGTTTTAAGAAACAACACTAACCCTGTCGAAACCGGATTCACAGCCATGAGAGCAGAAAGTAGAAGACAAATACACCAAATCCTGTTTAAATCTGAATCCCAATTTTAGAATATACGGCGAGACAAACGCATCCCTGATGAGCTGGTAAATTGATGGTAAAGGAATTGACGCCAGGTCAATTAGGAAGACTGGCGATTCGACTGAAGAATGGTCGGCGCCGGCGAGCTGGCAAGCGATTTGAAGAAGTGAGACAGTGGGGAAAGCGGACTGTTGGGTTCGAATGGGCTTCCATTCGGCGTCGAGTCCGATGACGGAAGAGTGAGTTAATGCCCGAGTCAGATGGTTGAACTCGGGCGAGTCAGTGGCTGAGACCAGGTGTATGGTTATTGGATTCAGTTCCGACTCCATGGTTCGGGGAAGTCCGTCTCTTGACGGTCCTTAGGCCGATGCGTTTACTATACTGGGGTATTCCTTAAAATAGCATGGTCTTGTCGGTTTTCGGACAGATCGGTCGTTCAAAAATAGCCGGCGTTTATTAAATCAATAAAAAATAGTCATTATTTTATTGCAACAGAGACCGGTCCAGCATAATATATTGGAGTTTGGTGTACCTGACTGGAGCATCGGTGCTCCAAACTCCAGTATATTATGTTGGACCGGTATATTATACTGGAACCCCAATATATTATGCTGAAGTATTTTTCTAGATTTTGAATAGTATTTTCGTTCATATTTATCTTTACATGAAAAGTGGCTAAATTTTAATTACCTTTAAAACTATGGCTATTTTTGAATGACCACATATAAATCTGGCTATTTTTGAATTTCTCCCGGATATTCCTATGACTTCTTCAAATAATTGACCTACTATCTTTGGTTAAAGAGTAAAAAGTGTTTATTTTTTGGTGGAAGATGTCTCACTTAAAAAGTATTTTTGGCAACCAAACACTTAAAAGTGGTTTTAAGAAATAATTTATTTTTTAAATAATATTTTCTGTAAAACATCATATATCATATCAAACGTAAAATCGATGTACATTTTTTAACTGATTTTTACCTTTTCATTATTGTCATCTTAAATGAGTATTGGTCCTAATTCATTAGAGCCCTACGAGTTGACTATATAATTTTATAATGTGATGATGTTCCATTATGCATCAATTCTAAATATAGATCCTCCAAGTCATTAAACTCGTGTGTTTTGTTCTTCCGTAGGATAAGATTGTGTATTAAGCTTATTAATATTCTTTTACTTGTTAAAGAACTTTGATGATGAGGCGTATGAAGTGAACCTGAATCAGTAATCATGTAAAAGCAGTGTTCAATAAATTTCGCCAAATATTTTGTAACATCCTAAAAAGTACTATAAAGATATAAATTAATACAGGTGGACTAATATGTTTGTTAATTTTACTCTACAATAAATAATAAATATTCTTTATTTAACTTGTTAGTCCAGTGAAAATGACACCAGGGACCCATTTTGTAAGCGTGTTGTTTAAAATATATTCATAGTTTACAATGTATTTAAAGATTAGTTAATTCGCTCAAATTTGAGGATATGACGTCTTGAAGTTTAAGCCTCAAGGTTCAAACTTCAAGACATCATGTCCTAAAGTTTGAAAATAATGTATAGAAATTTGAATCTTATGCCTTTAATTTAAAATTAGCAGTTTACAAATTCAGAACAATTAGTCATGAAGTTTAAATTAGCAGCTCAAGAATTTAGGATATAGAAGTTTAGGATACTTAGTCCTGAATTTGGGCGAATTGGTTAATCTTTAAATATATTAAAAATATGAATATATTTTAAATAGCAGACTTAAAAGAGGCCACTAATGCACTTCGCCCTTAGTTCGAATGGTTAGATATTGGGATCTTTACATAAATAGCCGGCTATATTTATTATTTATTTTTTAGTCATATATAGAGATTATACATTGATTATACACAATTACACATGTAATATAAAAATTATGCATATGTTATACCTTTACTGGCTATTTTTAGTTTACGCGGTTGGGTGAATGGTTATTTGGGTTAATTCTTCTTAGATATTTTAGTGACTCATGGTGTGCGGGTCAAAGCACACTATTGGGTTGGGCTTTATCTTTAGCAATGAGCCGTTAGGTGGGCCAGAAAGGCCCCAAATCCATACTAATGGTAGTTAAAGTGCCCTATGACCCGTAACATTTTTGGCGCTAATCTCCCTTTTCCCGCGAATAGTGTGGTAAATAGCGCGCGAAAATAAACCCATTCTCGGTTTCTTCAACCGCCAAAGGAAATTAAAAACCCTATTAAAAATCCCAATCTTTTTGCCCTTTCCTATTCTTACCCTTTCACAGACAACATAGATAGTAACTACATTCTCAGATTTTCATTATTTGACAATGGTTTCTTCAACAACAGTGGTATCGCGGAGAAGAACCCAAGCTCCTAAACCACACTCAAAGTCCAAACAGAGTGAAAATGTAGAAGACGATTACGGCGACACCTTGTGTGAGAAATGTGGATCCGGAGATAACGCAGCTGAGCTCCTGCTTTGTGACAAATGCGACCGCGGATTTCACCTCTATTGCCTCACACCCATTCTTGCATCCGTTCCCAAAGGCTCCTGGTTCTGCCCCTCTTGCGTTATTAACAACGAAAAGCTAACCAGTATGTTCACGGATTTTTGCTGTTTTTCTTTTATTTTCGAAGTTGTGTATTTAAGAATTGTTATTTGGTTATTCTCTATTTTCTAAATTGAAATAGACTAATATTGCTTGGCTCCAACTTAGGCACATTTCATTTCCTGGGGTCTAAGATTATTTTGTTGAGTGAAATTGATTTCAGCAATTGTGATTTGCAAATCAACTCCAGTTTATTGAGTATTGGAATGGAAAGGTCCAAATGACATAAAATGGATATCGAGTATTCGCATAGCTTATCCGAACTAATTTGGAATAAGGTGTAGAAATTATACTAGTTTTATTTTCTAAAGAAGAATAGTGGTGATGAACAAAAATTAATTAGATAGCCATGATCATGACTGTTTTACAATGTCCTGGTCTCTACACATGATTATAAAGATTTAAATCTGGTACATGAAACAAAATGATTGTCTTTGCTATTTCATCTTTTAAGGAAATAAGGGGGATCCAATGATTGCTTATACATAATTTATTAGTGATTGATAAAGGTACTCTTTCTCTAATATGCAGAGTTTCCTCTCATGCAAACAAAGATAGTTGATTTCTTCCGGATTGAGAGACCATCAAAGTCATTTTTCAATCTTAGTCCAGGCAAAGGTACTTCCTAAGTCTCTTGCACCCTTTATTAGTCTATGAATTTAATCTTATTTGTTTGCTCTTATTAATTGAGATCTGAGATGATTTTACTTTTGGTTTGTTATTTGCTTTTTGAATTTGCTAGATTGCCAGAAAAAGCGAAAACGTAGTAGTTTGGCAATGTCAAAGAAGAAAAGAAGGTTATTGCCCTTTAATCCTACTGAGGATCCTACCCGGAGATTGGAACAAATGGCATCTCTTGCTACTGCCTTGTCAGCATCCGGAGCAGATTTCAGTAATGAACTTACTTATATGCCAGGCATGGCCCGAAGATCAGCTAATCGTGCATCACTTGAGCGAGAAGGAATGCAGGTACAACGGAACATAAAATCTTGGTAGCATTTTGACTGATCAAATTTGTCAGATTTAACCAAACTGGCATGCTAATGCTGAATACAATTCTTAGAGAGATAAAATCTCTCAATCCCGTGAAAATGAATAAGATGCCTTTAGAACCTAATAACGGTTAAAGATGAGATTTTTGTATCGTTGGGTCAAGGATTAAAAGTCACATTTTGACAATCTCTGAATAACATATGATTCAATTAGCTGACAACAGCTAATTTGGGACTGAATCATGTTTAATTGATTGAGGGGAAATCCATAATGGTGTTCGTCACATAACCAAGTTTTGTTGATGAAAGAACCTGCAGTGGTTTACATGGACATGTGCCTTTTGTGTGATGCTAATTTCTTTATACAATTAGCAACTTAGCATGCCAGTTGCGGAAAAAAAAAAAAAAGAAGAAATTTTAAGTAGCTTTTGCTTGATCTGTTAACTTGGCTATTTGCAAATGTTAAAACTTCTACTGTTCAACTCCAGGTATTATCGAAAGAAGATACAGAAATTTTACATTTGTGCAAGAACATGATGAAACAGGGTGAATGGCCACCACTTATGGTTGTTTTTGATCCCAAAGAAGGGTATGTATTCCAACTATTATCTTGCTGTCCTATTTTTTTTTACAATTTATCATTTTTGTATCATTTCTAATATGAGATGCTTTGCTTATCTGTTGTTTTCATTTTTCAGATTTACTGTTGAAGCAGATAGATCCATAAGAGACTTGACAATAATTACTGAATATGTTGGAGATGTTGATTACTTGAAGAATCGGGAAACTGACGATGGTGATAGCATGATGACTCTTTTAACTACTAGTGATCCCTCAAAAAACCTCGTCATTTGTCCTGATAAGCGCAGTAATATTGCTCGTTTCATCAATGGGATAAACAACCATACACCGTATGTTCATTATCCCTCAAACACTTGTGTGCTATTGAGCTTACTACGATATCTCATTCTTATCATAGTTGTTTATGTATGACATACTTGATCTTGTGAATGTTGCACATCATCGATTAGTCTTGCATGTTGCATCATGTGTTCTTTCTTGTGAAATGAATCTGAGCTTTTCATTAGAAAATTATACGATTTACTGGTCTTTAATTATATGGAGAGCTAATATTTCAGAAATTCTTTTATGTTACAAGCAGTTTAATCTAAAACTGAAAGCACATGCTAAACCTAAGCATGCTAGTGTTGAACGTCAATTTTGCCTTGTGTTTTCATTTTCCCTAAGAGTCTTAATGATAGATTTTCTTCTAATGCAGTGATGGGAAGAAGAAGCAGAATGTAAAATGTGTGAGATTCGATGTTAATGGTGAATGCCGAGTTTTGTTGATTGCAAGCAGAGATATTAGAAAGGGAGAGAGGCTATATTATGATTATAATGGTTATGAGAATGAATATCCAACAGAACACTTCGTCTGACCTCATAGGATCCAAAGATCTGTTTACTCTACAGATTTTTGTAGTAACTGATTTGTCCAGCTTTTGCTTCTAATATTTTTTAATTTATCGACATAAATCACTGCTCTGTAAACACAACGGCAGGGTGGAAGAGAATGATTTTGTTTTGGGTACAGCTAATGCAAAAGATCCATAGTTTATGGTCTAATTGTCCATTCTGACATTTCTACCTTAAAGATAGTTTTGGCCTCATGAAGTTGAGAAGATTTCGTGCATTCAGATAGTAGCTATATGGGTTTGATTGATTATCTTTAAGTTCAATTTATTGTTCTGTCATGATCCTGGAGAAAAATTGTGTTTTCACAAAAATGCTGATTGTTCTACATGATGCTTTGTAACTCATGCATCCCCAAAATGGTGTTCTCCAAGTTTGACAACAAATTCAAGCAAAGCTGATAAGTCAGAAGTTCTATTGTTGAACTTTTGTGTGCAATTATAGACTTGTCGAATACACCATTTAAGCTGGTTAGAACTGGAAAGTTTTCATCTTCACCTGTAGTATTGTCATATCTGAATAACTGAACACTCGTTGCAGCCAATTTTCTTTTCGAAGACTAAAATTAGACATGACAAGCATATGCATACAAAGGCTTCTGGTTAAATGTCATGTAATTGGTTTCATGGCGTGGTTCTTTATTGTATTTTCATCCTTGTGACATCAAAATGACTCTTGAGATCACGAGGTGGATATCTGCAGTAAAAGAATTCATTCCGATAACATTTCTTTGGTAGATATTGAGTTTTTTCTCGCACTACTGGACCAGATTCTTTTGCGTCCTTTCGCCTTCATCAACTAACTTGTACATTCTGATTCTGTGCATATGGCTTGCACTATTTATTAATTTTATGTGTTTTTATGTCAAAGATATTGGTTAATATATAGGTTTTTGTATAGTTGATGCTAATTAGCAATACCTATGATTTAAGGGAGAAGAAGATGAAGTATTTACTCTAGAGATATGAAGTTAGGATTGCTTCAGACAAACTTCAAACTTGATTCTGAAGTTGCAGTGAAGCAATTATAAAATTTTATATACGAATTTTTTAAGTTGCATTGAAGTGATGAAAGAACTTCACATTCACCTATCTAAAGTTTCATTGAAGTGACGGAAGAATTTCATATCTGATTCTGAAGTTGCTCTTCAGAGTCGAATTCTAAAGTGTGTTTAGAAGTGGGTAAATTTCTCAAATTTTTATGCAATGTAGATATGACTTCAATAATGAACTCCAAAATCGGGTATATGTGCACTTTCCCTGTTAGTAGTATATATTTTCCTAGTAGTAGGAGCGTTTAAGATTTGGGCTTTCAGCAAACAGAGACTCAGGTTGTCGCAACATCTGATCCACTTTCAACTTTTTTGGACTCTAATGGGCGACAAGCCCAGTATGACTACAAAATTTTCTGATGCTCAAAATGCATATTTGAATTTTTATGAGAGAACTTCATTTATAGCCCATCGGGCAAAACAAATTTCATCTGGTAGCCCACAAATTGACCCATACAAGTCATAGCCTAAAAATAAAATAAGTGCTAGCCAGAAACTTTACTAATTCCCTCGCCGGAAATCCAGCCAGCCAACTATGACCATGACTGCTCCTCTCGCTTTCCTCTTCTTCCTTACTAGTCGCATCAATTTCCCAAGCAATGATTTAATCCTTGAAACAAATTTCACTTACAGATGCAAAAGTCACAAGCTCAAAGTTAGTGAATTTTAAATTTTACTCGTCAATTCGCTTCGCCCAATTCATCAAATCACTATTAATAGTATTTCAATTCAACCGAACAATTTCAAATCTCACTTTTCAGTAACAAACAAACATTAACAGAAGTTCCAAACCCAGACATGAGTTTCTTTTCTCGATTCAAACTGCAGAATCAATGACACCAATAAGAGCAGTAATGGAAATTTCTTTTTTAATAGTCTGATTTTGAGTTTTGTGGCGACGGGTAAAAGTCCAGATCTTTTTATTTCGGTAGTGGTGTAGCATAAGGCTCAACCTTGTCTTCTTCTATGATTTTCTCTTATAGTTTCTGTGAATATGTAGATAATATTTTGAAGATCTTTGGCTAAAAGTTTAAAACTCCGGCGATCTTGTTACCATTTTCGGCGACTGTGAGGCCTTGGACGCTGGTGGCTGGTTTCTCAATGAGAGGAAGAACAGAGGAGATGATTATGCATAAAGTTGAAATATCTACAAAACATACTGTTATTATACAAAAATTATACAAAATAGACTGTTACTATACAATTTATATACAAATAGACTGTCACTATAAAGTTTATATACAAATAGAGTGTCACTATACAAAATATATACAAAAATAGAATGTCATTATACAAAAAATATACTAAATAGACTGTTATTATACAAAATATGTACAAAATAGACTATCACTATATAAAAATATACTAAATAGACTGTCGCTATACAATTAGCTCTCACTATACAAAATATATACAAAATAGACTGTCACTATACAAATAGACTGTTACTATACAAAAAATATACAAAATAGACTGTCACTATGCAAAAAATATACAAAAATAGTCTGTTATTATACAAAAAATATACAAAAATACTTATAAGATCCAGAAGTACATTTAAAAAGGCAAAAAAGGGTTGCTCTATCGTGCCAGGTGAGGGTCAAACTTGCGACCTTCAGCTTAGAAAACAAGCACTCTAATCACTGAGCTACATGCGCTTATGTTGTCATGCGTATTCCTTTCGGCTACTATGCAATACGTTTGGGCCGAAAGGCCATTTTTTGTAAGTAGGACAAAACATGGGGTATTAAAATTTTGAGGGGCTATAGAGAATAGTTTCTCAATTTTTATTTGTTGGAAGAGGCATCAGATCCAAGGCAAGTACTGGGGAAAATGTACCAGGATAAGAAGAAGTTGGGGCTCATGTCAGTACTCCATAAAATCACTTTAAACCCTATATGATTATAATGATCTACTCCAAATATTACTGCAGAATTGGACCACTCTATGGCTCTGAATGTTTTAAAACCAAACCAAACAGAAATATAGAATAGTGTGGTCCTTTAGAATTAGGTCACTACAGTCAGTACCCATTGCAGCTGGACTTCGTGCACACTCACACACACCTACACAGAGACAAAGTAGAAGACAACCATCACAGTTGTCTCATTTACTGCTTTTGATAACTTTCTTTTAACCGACACGCATTGTGTGGTGAAGTGATAATAACTTTTTCATTTTTAATCAAAAGTTTGGGTTCGAAACATGAGTATGAAATCGCTTTTGTAAGGAAGCGCTTTACCCTCAAATATGAGATTTTCGAACGCAAATCCGTATTTAATCGGGTCTCAATGGAAGTATTGGACATTGGATGAGAAACCAAAAAAGGAAAAAAGAAGAAAAAGATAACTTTCTATAAATAATTTTAAGTTGTTGATTTTGATCAGTATTTGTGTTATTATCCCCACAATAATTCACTACTAGAAATTCGAAAAAAAACGACTAAAGTTGGCCGCTTACAAGTCACAAAGCGACCAAAAAGCGTCCAAACTAGCTTGATCGCTATTTTGTTGGTCGCTTTTACCTTAGAGACCACTTTGGTCTCTAAGGTAAAAGGACCAAATAATCCGGGTAAACAATATACCGACCAACTTTGATCGCTTTAATACTTTAATAATATAAATTTAGCGACCAAAGTTGGTCTCTATATTTAAATTACGTTTTTTTATTTATTATTATTCAAAATATAGCGACCAACTTTGGTCTGTAAACCAAATATTATATTTTAAAATCTGGAAAATAGCGACCAAAGTTGGTCGCTTTTTTTAATTATTTTTTTTAAACATAAGCGACCAAAATTGGTCGTTAATTTCAAGAATTTAATTTTTTTTAAACATAAGCGATCAAAATTGGTCGCTAATTTCCAATTTTCTTTAAATAAAATAGCGACCAAAGTTGGTCGCTTTTTAGGAAATCTGGGTTAATTAGCGACCACCCTTGGACGCTATTGCCCAGAAAATATTTTTTCTAAATAGAAAAGAGACCAAAGTTGGTAGCTTTTCTAGGTATAATTTTGGCAAAAACTGCCTGTTTTGGCAGCTACACCACCTGCCAGCATACCAAATTCCCTAAATAACAATATAATTCAATTCATAAACTACAATTTCAATACCAAAATCTCCACAACAACCTAGCAACACCACCACCACAACAACAACAACACAATTCAAAAAACACATTAAAACCAACAAATTAAAGTTCAATAGAACTAACAAACTAAACTAAGTTAACGCTTATTACACCTAGTTCAAAACCGGTTCTATTTGTCTAGTTCAAAGTATAGAAAAGTCAAGGAATGTTTTGTACAACATCATTATCATCATCGTCTGATGAACTTTCATCAACAAGACGATATACAGAAGGGTCTACTTGTCGAGGACGGAAAGAACGATCACGGGGAGGATGGGAGGAACGAGCACGGGGAGGACGGAAGGAACGCTCACGTCCAAGTCGAGCCTCTGGCGACGACTCACGAGACCGGGGAATCGGAAAACCTCCAGAAGCTAGGAGAGATTTGAGCTGCTCTTACATGCCCTGGTACTGAGCTTACATGCCAATATACTGAGCATCTCTAAGTTTTTCTCTTTCCTTGGCCGCTTCTAGCTTAGATGTGAGATTTGTCACAGTCTCCCGCATAGCGGAGAGGCTCTCCCCATCAAGTTGCTCGCCTTGCGAGGAAGTCCCTATTCCTTGCATTCTACACTTATAGCGATGGAATTTCTTAGTAGGAAGCCCGTATACCTT